CTCTCTCTCTCTCTCTCTCTCTCTCTCTCTCTCTCTCTCTCTCTCTCTCTCTCTCTCTTCTCCCTCCTTCCTCCTCTTTCTCATCTTCTTCTCCTTCGAATCGGAGAGTGTGAGAGGTTATCCGTAGGGATTCAGGCTGGGGTTGTAACGGGCGCACTACCCAGGATCTGATTCGACATTTCTGAGACAGACATTGTTTGGACATTCGGCAAGAGACTATTTTGGACTTCGTCATTACGATTTTGGTCTACTCTCTCGCCTTCCCCCTCTTTCGTCTGTCCCTCCCCCATCTCTCATCCGTGGTTTCTCCCCATGTGTGTGTATGAAGGAGGACCTTCCTTCCATGATTGCGGTCCCTCCTCTCTCACCCATGTGTGATGTGTGATGGATGTCAGGTCAGTCCACGTCAGATCAGATCGTCTCTTTGAAGTCTTCCGTTGTGCCATTTGCGCCATCTTGTATGTATCGGATGTACATTGCTTGTGGATGCCGCGCTGATCTAGCATTGTCCATCTCTGTCCTTTTCATCACATTGTGGGTCCTTGGTATACTGCACACTGCTCCCCAGGGCATGCGTCAAGAACCAACTGCGAAGAAGCATCATCAACGCACCAAGTCTGTATAACGCCAGCCCACCAAGGTAAGTGGTGGATAGAACCAGCTCCGATACCAAAATGCAAGGAACATGAATGTGGACGAAGGACAGAAATCAAGATTGCAAAATCACACTGAAGTCCAAGTAGTCAAAGCAAGAGCAGATAGCACAATGGAACCGAGTAACCATCCATTTGAGAACGATACAGAAGAACCGTGAGTCAATGTCCAAGCCCAATCGGGCAACACCAACAGCATAACCCAATGTAGCTCTCTCTCTTGAATGGCGCCAGGCACCCTACCTACTCTACAGCCTATCACTACAACTACAGCATGGAAGCAACCAGACAACTTGATGACCAGCGAGTGATGATGTCAACACCAATGCCAACCTCCTCTCTCCTGCAGGTACGTCTCTCTCTTCACCCTCACTCTCCCTTGTTATCCCACACAGCGCCCTTCGCCTCCGAAGAACCACGTTCGCCCTTCCTCCTCTGCGCCCACAGGCAGCCCGGCTATGGCCGCCGGCGCCCTGCGCCCAGGCAGCGCTCTACCGCTTAGCGCTAGCCTGCCTCTACCCCAGCCGAGCGCAGCGCAGCACCTCGCAAACGCGCAGCGTGCCGGCCTTGCTCACAATGGCCAAGATCCCTGCCCACTCGCCCTCCCTGCCTATATGCCAGTGTTGCGTGTGGGCGGCCTCCCTTGAGCCTGCGCCTCGGCCCCAGTACCTGTACCCAGGCCCGATGCGGTTGGGGCCCAGGAGATGCAGTTGCGCCTGGTGGACCGGTTTCCCATTGGCATTTTCGGCCTCTATATCCAGCATGCATTGTCGGCCTCACGTTTATGTGCCCATGGCCTAACCAACTCTGGGGCCCTGGGATTTCTGCATTTGCAGAGCTCCGATACTCGGTGCACACCAACCAACTGGCATGCTGTAACTGTATGGACCCCACTTCGTGAAATGTTTGCACAGAGGGCTCTTGTTGATTTGCTGGCCCGCCTTCACTTAGGGTGGGCATGAGGCTTGCTGGGGGCCTTAGCCCAGAACATGTACATCATGGCAAGGCCCATTCTTGAGGGCTCAATCCTCACAAGATGCACTGGTTTCGTTTTCATTTTGGTGTGGAAACGAAATGAGTGCATCTGCCCACAAAAGGTGGAAAAGTACACTTGTTACTGTGTATAGCAAACTGACGAACCTGGCCATTTTCTGCACTCGTTTTTCGTATCGTGTGCAGGCCCTGTTTCTGATTATTTCAAATACGGTGGCTACCGCTACCCACCAGAGCAAGCGTCAGAAACCAAAAACGGAAGGGCCTGCTACCGGTACCCTCTTCCAGGCCAGGCCAGGCCACGAGGTGAAAAAAAAAAAAAAAGGCCACTGGCCCAGGCCACCTCCTGTTCTTGCCAATTATCGAACCGGTAGGCTGTCTAACGCGCAGTTCCTTGTTTTTCTTGCTGTTTCGAACTGCTCACGCCCAATCTTGCAGTGGACTGTTATTTCTGCGAATTTTGAACTGTGCAGCGGTCACCGGCGCAGTTGTCTCAAAAAAAAACTATGCTATGCAGAAAAAAAAACTGAAAAAAAAAAAAAAAAAAAAAAAACACTGAACAACTTTTTTTTTTTTTTTAAAGGCTAATTCTTTAAGCCCAAC